AAAAAAACAACAACAACAACAACAACAATCACATTGTCATAGTATACATGTATATATTTCTCATTTCCTTATTCTCCTGAGACAATTGAATAAAGTCCCAAAGTCAGGCAAATGTATATATTAACCCTAACAGCTATGCTATCACTGGAAGTCCTGAAGTCAAAATTTCCAATATACAGTAACAGTTACATATTTCTAAGATAGTAAAATTGCAGATGTACTTCCTGTTTGATTGTTGCTCCTTAAATCCCTTTGTCCAGATCAAGATTTTAGGTCACCTAATGTAGAGAAATCATTCATTTAAAAATTAAGGATTAGATCAACCATAGCTAACTTTCTTCCGATATCAATTTAAAGCGTATTTTGATATATATGTTCCTATTAGATCATTAACATGCATCTCATACTGTATAGCATTAATAATATGATGCCAGGATTCACATTTTTTTAGAAAACCTTCAGACTAGATGCTTAGAATCAAATAAATAAAGTCTTTTGCTTCTACCGGGGAAGAATTCGGCGAGTTATCTCAGCAAAAGAGAAGAAGACCATAATAGCCGCAATTTGATTCGCAATCAAATCCTCAATCAAATCCTCAATATCTTGATTCGAAACTTACGGTAAGATTCGTAAGAAAGGAGGCACTTTTCAAGTGGTGGATTCCACAAAGGTTAGACAGCACAACACAGACTACATATGGAGGCAAAAATACAGTTGATAAAAGTGTGTATGTTACTTTCTAGCAGTGGGAGGGTGAAATAGAAAGTCTACCTTTTCACTCGACAAAATACAACTGAATTGGTCAAAATTGTGTTCACGTAAGACAAAGTTAAAATCTAAAAGTGACAAAAGTACTAATGACAACTACAACTTCTGAAATCACATTTCGTATATATAACATAGACTAAATGTCACAAAAAGACAAGTTCGAACATCGAAAAAAATTTGAATACGCTCTTAGATGCTTTACTACTACAGATCCCAAGATCCTTGTTTACATTAAATTCATGGAACCTAATTAACCTAAAAAACTTCAAACCCTCATAAATGTTAAATGCTCGAAAATTACATGCAGGAGCTTGTGGAGGTCAGTAAAAACAGAGAAAATCATAACAAATTCCCAAAAAGATAATAAACATCCTCCTAAATTCAATTTGAAAATATCTCCCCAGCAGTCGCGGTGATCTAAGATACAATTTTCCTTATCCTCTCTCTGCACAGAAGATAAACATTATTTCACATCTACCCAAGAACACGGTCTACAAACATAACATCAGATAGATACAATGGAGTGACAATGAACTCAAAAATAAGGAAAATACCAAATGGGTTTTCCCGTAGAAATGTAAGGAATACTCCATGAAACCCTTACTCAGCTCAAAGCTGAAATCAGCCATCACACAGACATACGAAGCATCTAAGTTCAAACCTTTCACAAGCAATCGGAAACCCTTGAGCTAATTCCACTGGAAACAAAGAAAGAAAAAACCAACCTGCAGGCGAATGTTACGAAATCGCTCCTGAGCGTCACTCATACTGAACGACCGGTCACGCTTGGATGAAATCTCCCTTCTCTGCAGTTTCTTCACGCTGTTCACGAACCCATCTAAACCGCCGCGAGGCCGCTTTTTCGCCACCACTCGCCGCCCACAGCACGGTCTAGGGCTCGCTGTTATCCGCCTCCCGTCCATCTCACACAAATTCACTCACAAAAAAAAAAAGGCTCCTTCTTTACACAGAAATCTAAACCCTAAAAGTTATACACAGATTAAAACACTAACGCATATGGGCCAGCTTGATTCCTACACATGATTACGGGCATCAACAGAAGAACGAAAACCCTAATTCTCCGGACCCAGAAGAAAAAAAAATAGTTGAGGCTCCTCAGCCGACCCAGGTCCAGAGAACAACAAAAAATTCAAACAAAAAACAAGGGAGAAATCCTCGCTTTTCTCCCTTTATTTACAACTGAGCTTTTGAATCCCTCATCTCAGTTCATACACTCCCATTGATCAAATTCTCTCTCTAGCTCTGCAAATGAATTGAGCAAAGAGGAATAAATTGGCTTTTATTGAGAGGAGCCTAAAATAGAGAGAGAGAGAGAGAGAGAGAGAGAGAGAGAAATTTGTCGGATTTTAGATGAAATTTTTTGAAGTCCGGTGGAGTTCAAATCCAGATGGACAAACGGTGCAATAATTGTTAAAAATTAGGGAAAAAAAAAATAAAAAAAGGTGCAATAATTGTTGAAATTTTTATTTTTATTTTTTATTTTTGTAATACCTCTATTTTACAAACATATATCTTCATAGATTCACATACACTTACCAATAATAAAATTTGGTATAATATTATTGGTTTATGATTCATTATTGAGATATCTATTAATATATAATAAGGATTAACATAATTCACTTTTAGAAACACTTCCCGTCAATTTTATTAATTATTGCCTAAACATAGTAAATTAACAAAATCGCTATTAATTAGCATATCTATTTTTTTCTGATTTTTTTAGGAATACAATAAAAAATATGGAATCAAAATCCAAATAAATCTCCTCTTTTTGTGGTTGGATATAAATCTCCTCTTTTGAAGGTTGAATATCCTGCGTTTATTAAGGAGCCTGCCAAAAAAAGATTAAGCTAAATTGGTTAGCAGATTCGTTGATTACATTTCAAAATGAGATTAACCTTTTATTTTTTGGTTAAATTTTTTAAATAATTTTCGAGAACTAGATTGAAGTTTTATTTAATTGCTTTTGGTACAAATCTGATACCTGATCTTTTTTTTATGTCATAGCGATTTTTGTTGTCAAAATTTGATTTACATTGTGTGCTACTCATATTTATCATTTACTACTTGCTATTCATATTATGATTTGAAAAACTAAATCTATTGTATAATGAAACAAAATAATTTCAAAAATCACATTTTCGATCGATGTTAAAAATGAAACTGTTAAAATAAAATAGATAATCACAAATCCATATTATAACAAGTCAATACATAATTAAATATAATTTTATATTCATAAATTATAATTAATATATATTTTACGGGTAGAAAATTACATGTGTAAATTAAAATTACTATAAATATCGATCTACAGTTGTCAAGTACAAGATAATTTGCATGGAAAAACAAGAAGGATTTTAACAATGTATGACTTTTTCATGATGAACATGTTCTGATTACCTGATAAATGCCCTACGATTTATAACTTATTGATTAATATTAGCCTTTAGCTATAAATTTTACCAAAACAAATACAGCCCGTGCATCGCACGGGGTTACGTACTAGTTTTGTCTTCGAACTATATGTGATATGTTATCTCCACGTGATCTGCAAATACCTTTCAAATTCATGTGGCATCAGTTACCAATTTGTGATTTCCTATGTGTGTGAGTACTAATGAATATGAAAAAGAGTCGAGGACTATTAGTAACACACTCGTCGGACTATTACCTTTGAATCAATGGAAAACTCTAGTTTGTGCCATCAAACGCATAAACAGTGAACTTGATTTAAAAATATTTTTTTGTCTATATCACTGTGACCGGTCATACCATTTTATAATGAAATTTTTAATAATACTGAAATAAATTTTATTTTTTTTAGCAAAAACTTATTTTTTAATTAATTAATAATTTGGTAAAATTATTGTCGTTGAACTATATTCCCCGTGCATCGCACTGGTTTAACACTAGTTTTAAATAAAAATAAAAATAACATCTTTTAAAATACTATAGTACTTCTAGTTTACATTTGATGTGTGGTATTAGTGTCAAATTACTCAAATCATTAATTGATTTGAGATTCTCAACTGTAGCTCGATCCCTATAATCACACTTGTTTTAAGACATAAAATTGTAGATAATTAAGTCAAAAATTTTGAAACTGATTCAACCCCATTTAATTAGTATCAGATTTACCAGCTTAATTGAATCTTTTTTAGTTAACCCCATTAAAATTGAAGAACCTGCTTAGTTTGAGTGGTATGCAATGATTTTGTTGTAAAATTTACATTAAAGTTACATCAAATTCCATCATTGCTATAACTTATAAGTGCTAAAAACATAATTTTGTCAAGCGGATTGTCCAAAAACAACATACAACCAATATCGCCTATTTTGCTACGGAGTTATCCGATGGCTCGATTTATGGAGTCATCTATAGTTATTGATAAATGATGTATTGACACGTGTTCTGCATTAAATACACATTGAACATGTGTCAGTCTATAAAGATATCAATGGCTTCATAAGGGAGTCATCCGATGGCTCCATAGAATTTCTGCCAATATCACCTAGCATACTTACACGAGCGTTTGGTAAAACTAAATTGACATACAACAAAACATAAATTCCTTTTAGCCACAAACATTGTGTGTTGCAGTTTTGATAAGGGGAAATTACAGTTTTGATCCACTAACATAGTGTATTTCCCATTTTTGCCAAGGGGTCCGGAATTGGTCAAGTAACTCTTCAATTTTAGCCAATTTTGTCCGATTTCAATCTCGAACGCCGAAATTCAACAGTTATTTGGTCCGAAATTAGTCTAATATTTCTTAAATTTTAGAGTTAATGGACCAGTTTGGACCAAATCGGCTAAAATGTAAGAGTTATAAGACCAATTTCAGACCCCCAATAAGTTACTGGGCGAAAAATGGGAAACACCTAAGCTAGTGGACTAAAACTGCAATTTTCGCTCTTCGATCACAGGCTCAAGTGGTCATTGCTTCCATGCACGGCTCCGCAGCACCACCAAACACCTTCTGCAAGAATTTATCGACAATTGAGACAAAGTCATCGATCTTCTCTTCATGAGGCAAGTGGCCACAACTCTTGATCACTGCAAAGCTCGATTTTGGGATGGCTCGAGAAAGCCTTTCGGAATTCCAAGCAGGGACGAGACGATCAGTATCACCCGTAACAATCAAAACTGTGGTGAACATTGAAGTAAATTAGAACAAATAAGTTATGTTACGTCTTAAAAATAAACACACTAACCGGAAAAAAAAAATACAGAGTTATTATTCTCGAATCTTGAACCTGGACACGAGATTTCACTAAGCCTTCTTGTGTTGTTGGATGCCGAAGCAGTAAGCATGGCCACCGTGTATTCAGCTAGTGCCTTGTCCCAGCCCTTGATCTTCAATGGCTGTAGAAAAATAAAATTGGAAATAAATTGAGTTTGTTGAACAATGAAAAGAAAATTATAGGCGTAGATCTCGAATAGTATTAGCTAGTCACCTTTGTATAGCCTTGTATGATGTAATCAGAAACTTGTTTCGAGTCATACCATGCGCTGCGAACGGCTGGTATACCGAATTTACCGATTATCAATCTTATCTGAAATACAAAACAGGATTTTATAAGACCGAATATCTCTTTGTATGTGCACTTGTGCTTTCTAAATTACAGTGACCTTGACTGATCAAGACAATACCTTTATGCTGAAATATAAACGAAACTTGAAAATAGAATTGAAATGAATATATAAATAATTTACCACCATCACGCCAAATGCAGATAGCAGGATTGAGGATAAAGCCTTCTTGCAAAGAGTGTTTATCATGGCAGCCATCCCTTTTGCCACATTCGCTATTACATCTGCAATAATTTTCGCTGACTTTGACAAAATGCTGTAAATTCGAAAAAATAGGTTCGCTCGGGAATTTGAATCCGAGCTGTTTCCTTGGATTTGATTTTCAATATCAGAAGTGTTTTGCATTGCTAGTGGTGCAAAAATTGCAGGGGCAACAAAAATCAATGCAGCTACACGCCCGGGTGCCTCAAAATATGCATCTAAAGCTACAAGAGCCCCTGCAGAGTGCCTGACAATCTTCAAGTAGTTGGTGTGAGTATGAATACTCTAACAATTTATTAATGTACTTTGCTGATGTATCATTACAAATAGATTATATGCTAACTAGACCAGAAAAGAAAAGTGAACTCACGTAATACGGAGTACATGGCCGAAGTAAACTTGCTAATTGAACAAAATACTAGAGAAACTTTATAGAATAAGTGAAGGACCAAAAAAATGTGTTTTTAGCAGATGTTGCTAACATGCAAGTAGCCATTTCTGAGTTCAATAGTCCATTTGGCCCTTTTTAACATTTTTTTATTTTTAAATCAGAATTGTAGTCGTCTAAATTGTAGAAAAAAATTATGCGGAGTAACTGACCATATGTGCAGGAAGGGTTTAGTAAATTTCTGATAAACAACAACTACAAAACTTGTTTCGAAAAATCATGGCTAGTTAACATTTTCTAAAATATAAATGGCCAATTAATAATTAAAAAAAAAAATTGCTGGCTTAGATTGTATGCCTTGTAACTCTTTTATGGAAATACCTTTGCCAAATACATTGGGAAGCCCAACAGTTGATAAATGAAAAGTGTTATTCAAGAAAATACCCCACAAGAATTGCCTTTTGAGCAGCCATAAAGTCGATGAAGTACAATGTAGCCAACACGGAGAACATCATCGAATACGGATTCAAGGGTCGTGAATCTCGATTAATTTGATTTACTACCCTCGACGTCAACCCAAATGCCGGTCTATCAAATGCAAGAACTTTGGAACCAAGTACTCGGGCCAAAGGCTTCATGGCTCGGTTCCAAGAAAAGGTTGAGGCTCCAAAGCCGTGCAGCAAAATCATAGGAAAACCAATCCTTTTGGCAGAATCAGAATCTGCTTCACATATCTTGTGGTGTAGGTGGACCCCATTGAATTCACAGAAAGAACTATCCGGATCAGCTAACTGGGACGGATCCTCTACTTCTTCATCTACACCAACTACTTGTTCTGTTTTTTCATCTGGTCTTGATCCCTGCAGCTGGTCTGAAAATTTTTAAGGATAACAAGAAACACATATAAGACATTGATAAATGGGTTTCGGTAAAACTCATCCCTAAAAGCTAGCTCAAATGGAGAGGATGGCCAACCCACAATTATATTATACACAATAAAAACCCAATAGCTAATCAATCAATGAGGGACAAGTATAACTTCTAACGCCCGCCTTCACGCACAGCCTGCCGAACCAAATGGGTCGAATAAGGGAGATGATGCCAAAATCCACACTTATACACAACAAGAGCAGAGTAACCAATCGATCTGGGACAAACATAATTTCTAACCAATATAAGGCAAACACTATTAAACAAAATTCTGTCTGTTTTGGTTCTGCTTTTCATCATCCTCAATCACATAGTTCATAATTGTCCTATAGTTCCCATATTTTTCCAAAGACCGCTTTAGCATGCCATCAATAACAAACAGTTCATGGTAAATAAAAAATCCCTGGAATCAGGCAAAGTATGCTAAACTCGACAATTTCCAAAGGCCAAGACGATCAACACAACAACAACAACAACAACAACAACAACCCACAAATTAGCCACCAACTAGAAAAGTTCCATAGGAAATCAAGAGTCACCCAAGAAGAACGTGTAGAGAAAAATTACTAGATAAAACACACACACACACACACACACACATACACACACACACACATACACACACACACACATAAAGATGAAGTCTTTAAACTGTTACCAGTATAATCTGCACCAGAGCCACCCAGTGGGAAAGAAGGCGAAGAAGCTCCGACAAGAAACTTAGGTTGCCAAATGCGCTTATGGGAGGAAAAAGACGAGGAAAATTGAGATGGGTCCCGTTTTAAGGCAGAGTTGAAGTGCAGCAAAAGCTGTGAATTTGTGTCGTGAGGATAAGAATTGTGGGGTTCTGGAAGGACGCGAAAGGGAAGCTGGTATTTGCCACATGCTACAACAGTGATACTCATATGTGATTTTCGCAGCTCTGAGACGATATGAAGTTGTTCGAGAGGAGAAAGAAGCAAAGAACCCTTTTTTTCTGGAGGTAGAGAAGCTTTTAGAGCGATTTTTTTTCGCCAATGGTGTTTTTCTGTACGTGGACCTTGAACTTCAAGCTCGAGGATGATCTTATTCTTAGCCACTTAGCCAAGGACATTAACGGTGTTTATTAAAATCGTGTGTTCGAATTTGTGCTCCAAACAAGATAAAGGCTTACCTCGAGCAAACGGTGTTGCTTAAGCTCGTGAAAACTTAGATTGGCTCGGCTCGTTAATGAACTTTTAAATTGTAAATGATCGACTCGATTTATTAGTTCGAAACTTGTAAAAGAATATGAGATGTTGGCGAAGGAGATTAGCTCGACTCTTTTAGATGTTCGAGCTTAGGAAAGTAAACTAAACTATATATCTCGAGGTTTTACAAGTTGAATATTTATGTCTTTGCGAACAACTTGTTAGTTACCCGCATAAAAAAAAAATTGCGCGGGTCAATGGACCTCTAATCACCAACATTCGTTGGTGTCAGACCATATCGGTTGGAGTCGCAACTTTGCCTTTCTGGTCGCTGTCAGTTGTCGATCACATGGTGTCGAGTTGTTAGGGTTTAGATTTGGAAATTATCTAGGTTTGACGGATACCTATTTTGTGCGTGTGTCAATCGAGAAAGTAAAATAAAAATTAAGGGTGTGCTTGGCACAAATATATCCACTCAAAACGAAATTTTTTTGTTAACCAGAATTGATTTTAAAAAAAAAAAAAAGTGATATAATTAGTTGTTAGTGAGATGTTTTGTTTATACTAAAATAATCAATCAATCAACAAGGGTTGTAGTGGTGAAAAACCGACAACTCACGGAACTAGCATCTGGGAGTGGTTGGTGTACATCGTGTCAGGGCAGGCGCGCTCCTTCTCAGCCTCATGCTTGCGGACTTCGACCTCCTTGTCATGGTGCTGCAAGAGCTTGGATCGACATGGTGGAGGTTGAATCGCCAAAGGGTTGGACTTGGGTCGATTGGGGTTGTAGTGTGTCATGGACACGGTTGCAAATATTGGAAAGGTCGCGGCTTTGGTTCAAAAAGTTAAAAGGAGGCGACTTTGGGCAACAACATGGAGGTCGTCCATGGAGTTTCTGGAAAAAAGGGCAAAGGAATAATGGAAGAGCTAGGTTTCGAAATGCCCGAGGAAATGAAGAAGAAGACTAATGGTTATTGTACTTAGTTTTATTTGGGCCAAGTGTTACTGTGGCTTTATCTTGTTATGGGCCGATTACTTAATTATGTTAGCCCAATTATTATCACTTATTTAGTTATTGGGTAAAATAGGAAAGCCCATTGTGTTTGGCATTTTGTGTTGTGGGGCCTATGTGACGGTTTTAAGTATGAGGAAACACATGCAGACTCATTATGAATGAAATAACAAATTTCTCTACTTCTCTCTCTCCTCTGTTCTTCCTCTTATCTATCCTTTCTCCCAAGCTTTCATCCATCTTTCATTTACAACAATCGTAGTAAATACACAAAAATTATAAATATAAGTAAAACGTAACATTTGGTATCCAGAGCACTTTCCGGGCTGATGGCAGACGTCACACGCTTCAAAGATCTGCAGGAGGCACAGAAGAAAATCGATCAAATTGTGCAAACAGAAGTAATGAAAAGAGATGCCGCTGAACTTAAATTACAGGAGCAGATTTCCAATCTGGGCACAGAGATGAAGGGTTTTAACGCTGACATCAAAGGGCAGTTGCAAAATATGAACAGTAAGTATGACAATTTGTCAAACACCTTAGCTGCTATACAATTGCAACTGTTAAACATGGATAGTAGCAAAAGTCAAGCTGAGGAATCCATTTTGGGCTCCTACGATGGTTCTAGAGCGGAGGGATCTAAACAAACTTTCACCCAAAGACACAGACTGCAGTTTGACACACAACAACCAAACCCTCAGGTTATTAGCCCCTTACCTAAAATTGAATTCCCTCATTTTGATGGCACAAATCCCAGGGCCTGGGTATTGAAATGTAATAGCTATTTTAAAATTATACCCAATATCCCTGACCTGCAAAAAGTGAACCTCGCATCTATGCATTTTGAGGGTAAGGCTGCCCAGTGGTTCCAGAGTTTCAACCACAGGGGTGAAGACATTTCTTGGGCTCAATTCATAGAGGTTATTTCAGCCAGATTTGAGGAAATCAGAGAATCTAAAATCATTGGGGAGTTTAACAAATTAAGGCACACTGGGTCATATGTAGAATATGTAGAGAGGTTTGAAGAACTTAAGGCTTGCATGATATGCATGAACCAGGAGTATACTGAAGATTATTTCATTGCTAGTTTCATCAGTGGTTTATCAGAAGAGTTACAGGCCTTCATTCATATGTTTGAGCCTACCACTCTACAACAGACAATAGAACTGGGAAGGAAGCAACTAGTCACCCTTGAAGCCATTACCAGGAAACTGAAAAACTCTAACAAAACTTACCAGACTCCTTACCCACAAACTAGAAAGAATGATGCTATTCCCATCAACACCCCCAAACCTGTTTTTTACAATCCAAAGAATCCTGTCAAGCTACTGACATCCTCAGAAATGGCTGCTAGAAGGGAAAAGGATTATGTTATAACTGTGATGAGAAATTCTCTTATGGGCACAGGTGCAAACACAGGTTGAATTATATGATGATGTCTGAAGAAGAGGAGTTAAACTACCTGCAATTCTCTGAAACTCCCCCAGAAGGTGAAAGGGCAAGTGGAGAAATTGAAGAGGTACAAATGTCTCTTAACTCCATTACAGGTGAAGATGGGATTACAACCATGAGGGTGTATGGTGAAGCATTTGACCAGAAATTGCACATTTTAATAAATTCTGGCAGTACTCTTAGCTTTATCCAAGCTAGCACGGCTAAATCCTTGGGGTTAACTCTGAAGGAAGCAAGACCACTGAGGGTCAGAGTTGCAAATGGGCAGAGTATGATCAGCACACTCATAGTGGAAAAATTCCAATGGAGAATGCAAGGGTACACATTTGAATATTCCTTAAGGGTGTTGGAAAATGATGGGTGTGACATGATTTTAGGAGGTGACTGGCTAAAAAGCTGTACACCCATCGAGTTGGATTATGAAAAAATGAGCTTTACTGTCACACTGAAAGGGAAAAGGGTTAAAATTCAAGCAGACAGCTCTGAAGCAAAATGCAGATTCATCACAGGGCCATCACTTTACAAACTTATACATGAGGAGATGAATACTTCTGTGGAGGAAGTATACTGGTTGGCAATCAACAAACCAGATGGTGCAGAAATTCCCAGTGCAGTTGCAGGTTTATTGAAGGAATTTGAAGAGGTATTCAAAGAACCAAAAGGCTTACCACCCTCCAGGGGTGTGGAACATCAAATCATTCTCAAGCCTGACAGTATTCCCAAGCACCAATTCCCATACAGGTCATCTCATAACCACAAAGGGGAGATTGAAAAGATTGTCCAAGAGATGATTGACACAGGAATTATTCAGGACAGCAAAAGCCCTTTTGCTTCCCCAGTTATCCTAGTGAAGAAGAAGGATTCTACTTGGAGGCTCTGTGTTGATTACAGGTACCTCAACAGTTTGACAATCAAACATGACTACCCTATCCCAGTCATTGATGAGTTACTAGATGAGCTTCAAGGGGCCAAATATTTTTCCAAAATAGACCTAAGGTCTGGGTACTTCCAAATTTTGATGAGCAAAGAACACAGGTACCTAACAGCTTTTAGAACTCACAATGGGCATTATGAGTTCTTAGTCATGCCTTTTGGGCTGTGCAATGCCCCAGCCACCTTCCAATCTTTAATGAATAAGATTTTCAGGGAATTATTAAGGAAGAGTGTGTTAGTATTTTTTGATGACATACTCATTTACAGTAGAAGCTGGGAAGAACATCTCTTGCATTTAAGACAGGTTTTGACTCTACTTAAAGAACATCAGCTTTTTGCAAAGATGAGCAAATGCCAGTTTGCTCAAATGAGCATTGAGTACCTGGGACACATCATTTCAAATGAGGGAGTGGCAACAGACCCCCAGAAAATTGAGAGCATGCTAAAGTGGCCAAATCCTACTACACTCAAACAACTAAGGGGATTCCTTGGTCTCACAGGGTACTATAGAAAATTCATCAAAGGTTATGGCATCATAAGCAGACCACTCACAGACCTGTTAAAAAGGGACAAATTCAAATGGGGAGTGGAGGCTGAAAAAGCCTTCCAGGAACTAAAGAAGGCTATGGTCACTGCACCTGTATTGGCATTACCTGATTACAGCAAGCCATTTGTGTTAGAAACAGATGCCAGTGGGCAAGGAGTTGGAGCTGTTCTTATGCAGGAAGGAAAGCCAATAGCCTTCATGAGTAAGGTATTGTGTCCAAAGAACCAAGCCCTATCTATCTATGAAAGAGAATTTTTGGCAGTGCTGATGGCAGTTCAAAGGTGGAGATATTATTTGCAGGGGCACAAGTTTATTATTAAGACTGATCAGCAGGCTCTTAAGCATTTATTAGACCAAAGGGTGATGTCACCTGTTCAACAGAAATGGATCACCAAGCTACTTGGTCTAGATTATGAGATCAGATACAAGAAAGGGGTGGAGAACAAGGTAGCTGATGCATTGTCTAGAAGAGGGAATGATGAACCAGAATGCTTGGCTATCACTAATGTGGTGCCCTCTTGGGTTCAAGAAGTCAAAGACAGCTATATAGGGGACCCATTTTGCTCAAAAATACTGTCAGCTAACATTATTGATCCCAACTCTTATCCCCAATTTACCATCCAGAATGGGTTGATCAGACATAAGGGCAGGCTGTTAATTGGTACCTCCACAAATTTGAGGAGTTCCATCTTGGCTACTATGCACAATTCCACCTATGGGGGTCACTCAGGGGTTTTTGGTACCTACATGAGAACTATGAGGGTCTTCTATTGGCCCAACATGAAATCTGACATCATGAAACTCATTGACCATTGTGATGATTGCAAGAGAAGTAAGAGTGGTACAGGTACTTATCAGGGGTTGCTACAACCTCTACCTATTCCTAACCAAGCTTGGTCACATGTAGCCATGGACTTCATTGAAGGGCTACCTAAGTCAGGTGGCAAGGATGTTATCTTGGTAATCATTGACAGATTCACCAAGTATGCTCATTTCTTAGCACTTACACACCCATTTACAGCTCCAGGCATTGCTAAGCTATTTTTGGATCATATCTATAAGTTACATGGCCTACCTGTGAGCATAGTGAGTGACAGGGATAAAATTTTTACAAGCACCTTTTGGAGAGAGTTGTTCAAATTGCTTGGTGTGCAACTAAATATGTCCTCTTCCTACCACCCTCAGACTGATGGCCAATCTGAGAGATTGAATCAGTGCCTTGAGAACTATCTAAGAGGCATGGTGCAAGATAATCCTAGACAGTGGTTCAAATGGCTATCCCTGGCTGAATTTTGGTACAATACCAATCATCACACCGGCTTAAAGATGTCCCCTTTTCAGGCTTTATATGGATATTCACCACAAAGTTTTTCCATGGGGCCCTACCTGGACTCTACCCTACCAGAAGTTAAGGATATCATACAGCAAAGGCTGGTTCTAACCCAGCAACTCAAGGAAAATCTAGCAAAAGCTCAATCCAGAATGAAATTTTTTGCTGATAAGAAAAGAGAGGAGAAGCAGTTTCAGGTTGGGGAAAAGGTTTTTCTTAAATTACAGCCCTACCGACAAAACTCAATATCCCTCAGAAAAGGGGTCAAATTGACATCCAAATTTTATGGACCATTCACAATTACAGAAAGGGTTGGTCAAGTCTCTTACCGGTTAGCTTTGCCAGAGGATTCGTAGGTCCATCCGGTTTTTCATGTCTCTCTCCTTAAGCGCCGACCTCAACCAGCCGTTCCGACCTCGGACCGTCTCCCTGAAATAGATGCAGATGGACATGTCAAGATCTCACCTTTACCTACTCCATCGAAAAGGATGGTTTTGCGAAATGGAAAAGCGATACCTCAGATCATGGTCCTCTGGGATGACACCACGGGAACGCCGGCCACTTGGGAGGATGAATCACATCTCAATTATCTCATTTTATCCTCAGATCCTTGCGGACAAGGATCTC